ATAAAACCAATCAGAAGCAAGGATTTCAGTAGCTTACATATCAAAAACTGTCATTTGTCACTGATGACAAGTTTTGTGAAATTGGCCTCAGAACTTAAGTTGATATTTAGAACATGTACATGTACACGCACCTAACAGATATAAAGTCTTATGAAAACTTGAACTTGATAATCATACCTGTACTCCATACCCAACTCTAATGCTTTTCAATGAATTTAACCACATAACGACTTTGAAAAGTATTTTTAATGAAAACTATCGCTTATACTTTACTGAACTACCAGTATATTTTTTAACCATTTTCATAAAATACACATGTCCTTGCATTATAACAGGGGTCTGAATTTTTGTATTCACCTGTACATCACAAGTTCCTAATCTCACTCTTTTCCTAAAACATGTGATATTTGCAGTATCAAATCAACTGCCTTTCTTTTTTGTCTTCTTTTTCTCCATTTCTCTTCCTCCCCTCTGTTTTTTTGTTAACCTCTTTTTACCTGCTCCCTTTTTTTTTAAACCCTTTTCCCTTTATGTTTCTCTTCTCTCTCTTTCCTTTTTTGTTTCCCTTTTTCTTTCTCTCTATTCCACTCCCCCCCCCCCCCCCCTCCCTCCATCATGCTCCTTTTACATTTTCTGTAGCTTCTTTGATTCTCACTTTCTCCCTCTTCCTTCTCTTGTTTTCTGTTCTGCTATCATTTGTTTCTCTATTTTTTTCCATTTTTCTTTCCCTTCTTCTCTTTCATTTCTCTTTACTACACTCTCCTACGTTACAATCGCTTTGTTGCACTGCTATACATGTAGGATTGCGTGTCACACTTTTTAGTGCACTGTTTTGCATTGCTATGTTGATGATGTACGGTATATACAAAATCATTTACTGGTAAAGCCCTGTGGGCAAAAACTCATACTGTACATGTAATTGATGACGTTTCTTTTATTTTCAACCTGTATTTTCGTCTTTTACAGAGCCCAGCCAGAGATTATCCTGCTTGTTGAATTGGTGAGCGAGCAAAGCAAGCGAGAAAATAGACACTTAATGAAAGAAAAACATCATACACTCATCATAGGCCTACACTAGATGTATTTGTAACTTATAAATTTTAATACAGAGGGAAAACCTTTGAAATTATATTTTGTATAAAAAAAAGTAGAAAAGATATGATTTATATTCGGTCATTTTCTGCCTGAATATGGCAAACTTTAAGCCCCAGTCCCATATAAAGCCGGACCAGCACGGACGAGCACGGACCACTCCGGACCATCCCGGACCATGGTCTGGGGTGATCCGGGATGGTCCGGGATGTTTTGTTAAAAAAAGTGTGATGCTTTAAAAGCTACAGTCCCATATACGTCCCGGACCGTCCCGGACCATCCCGGACCCCATCCGGAGTGATCCGGGATTCGGTCCGTGTTGACACCGTGTTGGCACCGGGGTGGTCCTGGATGGTCCTGGATGGTCCTGGATGGTCCTGGATGGTCCTGGGCGGTCAATAACTCACTCCCGGACTGCCACGGATCAACACGGACCGCCCCGGCGCCACTACGGATGACCCCGGACCCAGCACGGTGGCTACACGGATCACCCCGGATCAAACTATTGTCCCGGACCACCCCGGCAGTTTTTGACCGTCAAAAACATCCGGGGTCGACTCCCGGACCGCCCAGGACCATCCAGGACCATCCAGGACCATCCAGGACCACCCCGGTGCCAACACGGTGTCAACACGGACCGAATCCCGGATCACCCCGGATGGGGTCCGGGATGGTCCGGGACGGTCCGGGACGTATATGGGACTGTAGCTTTAGGAATCTTGCTGCCAAATATATCTCAATTCAAAATTCTTCAGGAGTACAGCACCCTTGCCTAATACAGTGTATGCCTATTATTTCAACATAACTTACTGGTAAAGTTTATCTTTGGGTCTCCAAAAATGAGAAACAGCGGAAATCATGCAGGTTAGGAAAAGAGGAGATTAGTAAATCGTATTCCTTTATGTTTGTCTTCAAACTGATAAAGTGGCATTCATTGGCTCTCTACTGTATACATATGTCAAATGTATGTTGGATAAGTCAATGAATTACTGGTGTACTCGTATGGGTGAAATCCTTGTACTGTAGCTGTGTCATTGTCTAGTGGATCACATTATGTGGTTATATAGTTCCACCACATCCTATCCTTTAGCAAGACATATAATTACTCTACATTTGCCACTCTCTTCCCCAGTGAAGAGTGCAGTGACAAGTTGGCAACCATCTGAACCAAAATAACCCTTATTATACTACTCCCCCTCTATTTCCAGTTACTATACATGAATGCTCAGGTACAGTTTGGGTTGAGAATGGTACTTGAAAATCAATCTTACTTACAACTGTAGTTACTTACCAGTGTTCCACAATTAAAAACAAATGAATAAAACAGCTCACAAATACTTTACGTTTTCCAGAACTCGATCTTCTGTTTAATCAAATAAATGACAATTCACTGAGACACTTCTCTCATGTCAATTCATTCTCTAGCTCTCTTGTCTCAATTTTTTGTAATATTATTTTGATTACCAGATTCAAGTTAGTTACAATTAAGTTACATGTATGTACTATGGTATCTCAATCATCATCATCACATCATCAACTAGCCCGAATTTTCTGTCTCTTTCGTTCGTAAGCCTCTGATTTGGGTAGGGTCGGCTCCTCTCTAAAGAGAGGAAAGAGAGAAGAGCCCACCCTACCCAAATCAGACTCAGAGGCTAACGTACGAAAGAGACAGACAATTCGGGGTAATCATCAACATATCTACTACTCAATTACCAATGACCAATACCAATCCAATTCTAAATTTCAACGTATGATTCAAGATACCGTAGATACCATAAATACAGGCCTTAAATTAATCGACGGCCATCGACGGCCAGGCCGTCGATGCCCCTATGACTGGCCGCGGTGCCCTCCCAAAAAAAGATATATTCACGGCCAAAAAGGCCGTGCCCTTTTTTTCCAACTGGCCGACGTGCCTTTTTTCCAACTGGACGTGCCCTTTTTATTTTAAATTTGCGCACATAAAACCACCAATTGCGCCCATAATCATCTAAAACTAGACGGCAAGGCGCAAGTGTTTTCCGTGAAAATGCGCCCATAAATTATTAGAACAGTAAAAATACACGAATCACGAACAGTTTGCCGCCCACGAGCTCTCTTCTAGCTTCGTATTTAGTGCTTTAATAAGGCGCAAGTGCCGTGAAAATGCGCCCTTTGTTATTATATAGGCAATGCGCTAGCGCACGTACGTACGTACGTTCATATTATGCGATCGCATGATGTGCATATGGTGCATGCTGTTGACGCACGCACGTACGAACAAATCGAAGGCCAGGATCAAGAAAACAAATCGTCAAATGGAGAAATAAACAAGCATTCAAATAGTCGTTAGAGATCTGTCGAGGTTTGTTTGTAGACTAGGCCTAGTTTATTATTTTATCTCAAATAGAATTTAGAATTATCTTATTAATAAGTTAAGAACACCTACGATGTTCTCGATCGTAGTTACTCTCATTTTGCCACCAGCCAACCTCGCTTCAAAAAGCTACCCCGCCAGCTTCCCAAGACGAACGTTTCGAGTCCCGGTAAAATTCCGAGGGTGCATCGGTTTCGCTGGCAAACTTCCAGCCCGACAGCTTCCCACCAAAAGTGGCGAGAGTGTGTGTGCGAGGAACGATTTTGGTTTCGTGAATGCACGTTACGCAACTGAGCTGAGCGTGTCACTTTCAGCTGTCGAATGTCTATAAGGACATTTTTACATCTTATTTCATTAGTTAGGCCTATGTAGACCTTTCTATACAACAGTTAAAAAGATAATTTCTTCAAATTTGCTCCTACTACCGAGAGAGTGGCGGAAGGTTTGTGTGTGAGGTGCGATTTTGATTTGGAATACCCGGCCCGGTAAACTTGCCAATTAAGTCCTTCTGACGTTCGATGTTTGTGAAATTGACAATTTATTTATTCATTTGCTCATCAATATTTTTAGTTACTTTAAAATACTGTTTAATGTGCAAGTTTGATGTTCTTAATCAATATTTCCTGTTCATATTGTTAAGATTAAAAAGTTATTAAATTGATCGTTCGATCTATTCACATTATGAAATTAACATTTGTAGACTCTCTTTGAACTTATGATTAGATAAGCGGCCTATCTGTTTTTGGAAAATTGCCCCTTGCTCTGGTAAATTCCCGTGGCAAAGGGCAACTTAAAAAAAAAATTGCCCCTCAGTGCTCCTGGCTGCTAAATCTAAGGCTTGCGGGCCGCCGCCTTGTTTGCAGGCGCGTAGCCAGAGTTTGGTGTTTGGGGGGGCACGTACATGTAATCGATCGAGGTCAAAAAAAGGGGTCTACAAAATTTCAACCGATCCTGGAAATTTTAGGGGGGGCACGTGCCAAACTCGAGGCCAAACTGGCCTTGCCCTAAAAATGACGAAATTTAAGGCCTGTAAATAGATATTCTCGTAAAATAAGCCACTGCTCATTTGTACGTAGGCCTAGACTAGTGGCAGCGCACTACAAGGAGGAGTCAACAACAACGATATATGAGACTAGGCTCTTCAATGGACTCTTACAAATTTAGTTATTTCCCCAGGACACTTAAGGACTGGGACGAGCTACCTCAAATCATCGTTGAACTGCCCTCTTTGGAGCAGTTCAAGGTGGCTCTTGAAACAATTTAGTTCCCTTTTCAGGAACTGTACCGCATAGAGCTGTATAATTATACAACTCTATGCTTTATCCTCATCTAGATGCTGAACAGGCGTTGATGAGTATCACCATAGAAGTAGAAGTAGAAGTAGTGGCTGATTGTGAATTGCGTGTAGGCCTATGAATGTGTGTGTCACTGAGCTGTGTGTACACTCGATGACCAGTGCAGTGGCTAGTTCCAGGCAGTGGTTTATTTCACGAGAAAACGTTATCAACATTACTTCAAGTGCAACTGTTTAGCAAAGGCATGAGGGTCTTACCTTTAAATCTGAAAAAGAAGAAATAAACTCTAGCCCCAAAAGACGGATGCCTCTCTCAGGCTTTCTCACAAGAAATATTATAATGTCACTTGTCTCAGCTCCGGAGATCTCTCTTCACAACGCCCGGTGGACTGCGGACATGACATACAGTATAAACAACGATATAAATTAAGAGACCGGTGTCTCTTTTTTGCCAATCTGGTTTGCTGCCGAGTCAGGGTTATTATATCCGAGAATTGAGAACAATCTCGATGAGTTGTGATCGTGTGAAAACATGGCGACGTCCATAGCGCTACTCTGCGGTAAGGCCAGAACATTTTCTTGTATATTTTCGTTCATTCCTGATATGATATTCCACCGATATATGCTTTTGATATAACAAACAAAGTTTATCCACGAATTACTTCCATTTTGATACATTTTGTTTATGTTTGATGGTTTTAGAGTGAAAAGAAAGACTGCCTTTATTTTGTGAAGTCCCATATGTTAACATTCGCGTCAAGTTTCGTGGGCGGGGAGAGGGGAGGGGAGGGGAGGGGTTGGGGGCCGGGGGGGGGGGGGCGGTCGTCATAAGTGCTTCAACAATAATTGTTTTTGTTCTCCCATTTATTTGTTACAAGTGCAGGATGTGTGCAAAAATGTTACATAGACTAGATCTAGACGTAGACCTAGATCTAATTCTTAGGATTCAGCCCAACGGCCAACTCAAGCTCAAGCACGATCAGTGGGTGGGGCACCTTTGGCCCTCAATAGTAGTAGTCTATCTTTTAGTTAATCTCTCTCTCCCTCTCTCTCTCTCTCTCTCTCTCTCTCTCTCTCTCTCTCTCTCTCTCCCTCTCTCTCTCCAGGGCGGATGTGTATCCAAGATCTACCTAAAAGGATGTCTTGTTCACGTGTACAGATGTTAAACAGCAGTATGCACACCACACATATCACCAGACGCACATGCAGACTTGTTTCTACAAGTAGCCTTAATCAACAGGTGTTTCCAACACACTACCATCATCAGCATTTGCCAAGGCCCAGGGTATTTCTTCGGACCTGTACAAAGACACATGGAGCGGAGCCTAATATGCTAATTACTTGCCACACTGTGTGGATTAAATCAGTATTTTCACAAAGTACATCAGAAACTTCCAAACAACATTTTTCTTGCATGGATTTGAAACAAATCAAACAACTATCACATCATTTTCTTAAGAACCTTATTCTTTTTCCTTTGGCACATCAAAATGCAAGTACACAATGTAGACTGATGTATCACCATTTCTCAACAAGAGCATCGTATTCTACATTGAAAGGTGATCATGTTAGAAGTAATTACCAGTCTCCACTCAGTGCCCTTTACCGAATGCAGGCCTATGGATCTAGTGCTGGGAACAAGACTGGTGATCCCCTCTCCCCCAAGAGCCCAGAGTTCAGATGCTACATGGATCATCTGACAAAGGAGCACCAGGCCATCTCAGAGTCACTTCAGGTCAGATATTATGCAGCACATGGTTATATGTGTTGTATGCATGTAGACACAGCTGCCTCATACACTGTTGTAGAGAACTTTCTGTTTGGTTGTGATATGACAACCGGTGTAGGCCTAAGTTATGATACTAAGGAGGGCTTTTCTAAGACATTTCTTATGAACCAATTTTTGCTGTAACCCCCGGTTTTTAAGATAGCCTGCATGATTTCCATATTTGTGAATGATTAAACATTTAAAAAATCTTTGAACCATGAGGGATTAAAATTGGCAACCTTGGACCAGGCTTTCTTATGCTCTTTCGTGGTGTTAGAAGATTCTGTATTTGATCATCATTCTTCCAAGACCGGTTCTTTATTTTCCTTCATTCCTCCCATATGTTTTTATTTCTTCTAATCAAGTACCCTAAGTATGCATGTGCGTGTACATGTAGCAGGCCTGATAAAAACCTGATTGATATTGGTTTCCCAATTTTTTTATTTTTTCCAAATTTTTTTCTTCTTCCCAATTTATTATTTTTTTCTTTTTCTTTTCTTCCCCATTTTATCCTGATTTTCCTGATTTCCCCCTTATTTTCTCTATTCTTCCCTATTTTGCCCTATTTTTTTCCCAATTTTCTTACTCAAAAGGGGAGAATTTTGTTAGATGCCACTTTTTCCCTGCGAATCCTCTTCTTCTTTTTTTTTTACTCAAGGGGGGCGTGGTTGAGGGAAAACAAAAAACATATTTTTTTTTAATGCTCACTATCATCCCTGATGTAGGTCCTCGCATCTGTGTTTTAAGGTACAAAAAACCGAGTTGCACTATGTTGATATATTTTATTTTGCCCCAATTTTGTTCGTTTGTCAGAGAGGGGATCCCATGTCAGACTCTAAGCAGAAGGAGCTAAGAGAATCCTTGATGGAGCTAGGAGCTGTTCAATGGCTTCTATTGGTAAATCAATAATGATAAATCAAAATCGATTTTAGCAACTGTCCACCAAATGTAAATGTTGGTTTCTTTGTTTGTTTGTTAGAGAGGGGATCCCATGTCAGATTCTAAGCAGAAGGAGCTAAGAGGATCCTTGATGGAGCTGGGAGCTGTGCTTGATAAATGGGAGGAGCTAACGTCAGCTGAAGAAGAGATTACAGAGCTTCAACGTCTTATTGAAGGTACTTCAACTGAAAAATAATGATAATGCAAAATAATAGTAATGATAATATAATAATAATAAAAGTGATGACATAATTATAATAAATTTAAATCCCCACTCTACTACGTATAGCTACTTGCGCCCTCTATATCTGTATATCAAACAATGCCTAATCGGTTCCTGTTGTTCCCCCATGATCCCCTTTTTCTTATATTAATTGAGAGCTGTTTTAAAGAGATAACCACCTGTCAGTGACCTTGCAGGGAGGTCTAATCCCCCCTGGCCAAACTAGTGCAGACGGGCTTTAATAGTAATAATGATGATAATAGTAACAATTATAATAATGATGATGATGATATAATAATAATAATGCTTGGTTGGTTGGTTGGTTTTACCAGACTGCTAAGAAAGCATGCTTATGCTTGTAATTATTAAAGTAACCAGGGAATAGATGGCTTTTTGTCTTCTTTGAGGGACTTGTGATTGAGGATTAATGCCATGATACCACTTGATTGGTTTTGAACCTGACACCTCCAATTTACAAGACCACTGCTCGAGCACTGCGCCATCGTGCATAATTAAGAAGAAGAAGACAAAGAAGAAGAATTATAATGATTTTAAATAATATCAATAAACAAATAACAACGTAAGTAGACAATATTTGTATCTGAGCTTCAGCATCGTATTCATGTTTGGTTTCCATGTTAATAAATGTCATTCATAATGACAGCTTCAGGGGAACGTTTCACAAATCATTTTTTTCAATGACAAAAGTCAGTGACAAATCTGCTGATAACCAATCAGAAGCAAAGATTTCAGTAGCTTATAACAAAAACTGTCAATTGTCACTGATGACAATTTTTGTGAAATGGGGCCTAGGTTTTAGTTCTGACAGGCTATGTTCTGACCTTGCTATGTTCCTTCTGTAGAACCATCAGATACCAGTCAAGATAAGGAGATGCAGGAGTTAGCAGCAGCTGAGAAGGACGACCTCGACGCCATGATTGCTGATATATCAGAAGAGGTAAGGGCCAAAGGTTCTTCAGATTTCAAAGGTTAATTGTGACCAGACACCACAAAACCACCAAAAATATGCCAGATATGATTATTTGTGTGTTGTTACTTTAAGATGATATATTACTTTCTATTAGTTTCTTGGCCTTTACAATTTATTTTCTCCATGTCTGTACATATATTAATTCATATGATACGTTAACTTTTTCTCTCCTTCTCTCTCTATTCTTCTCCCAGTTGGTTGACCTACTGTTGCCCTCGGAGGAAACGGACGATAACGATGTCATCATGGAGTTCACGGCAGGGGTCGGAGGTCAAGAGGCCATGTTGTTTGCGGCAGACATGTTTGAGATGTACCAGCGTTACGCAGCTTACAGGGGATGGACGTTCAGCGTCTTAGAGTACTTCACAACAGATATGGGTGAGTGGTTACAGTGAGGTGTTTCACAAAACTTGTCATCAGTGACAAATGACAGTTTCTGTTATAAGCTAGTGAAATCCTTGCTTCTGATTAGTTATCAGCAAAGTTGTCACTGATTTTTGTCATTTGTCATTAAAAAAAGGCTTAGTGAAATACCCCCAGGACTCATGCTATGGTGATGGTGTTGTGATACGATGGTTCAAGCGCTTGACTCTCAGACCTAGGGTTTAGGGTTCAAATCCCAAGCATGTACTGAAGTTCTTTGGCTTGACTTTAAAGGGACTTGGTAACGTTGTGCAGATCAGAGAAAATGGTGCAAAAGTAGTGACTTCTTTGCTAGATGTGCAATTACAATTAATCTGAAAGTTTGAGTGAAAACAACCCATTATTAATGATAAAATTGGAGAAAAAATGATCTGATCTATTCCTGAATTCTCCCAAATAAGTTATTATAATTTCATTAAAATTTAGGTGAATGTAAATTGTCACAAAGCAATGAATTGACTCTATATACCATTCCAAACATATAGGTAAGTGTTGAAAGATTTTTAAAAGCCTGTTTTATGTCTTATTTTCATGGGAAAATGGTTGGGAAAATTCAAAAATTGGTTTGGAGAATTTACTGTTAAAGTGTGTCGCACAGTGATGCCTTCAGAGAAAACCTTCAATATATTTGTGGTTTGAGAATCTTTTCAGGATTTTCTGCATGTTGGTGGGTTAGTACGGTAGAAGGAATATAAATAGTAACATTTCATACAAAAATTATGCAGGTCTCTCATCAACCTTCAACAATTTACCAACAATTTACCGAGTCACTTTAACCCACATTTGCCACTTCCCACCCTGGTGTAAATGGGAACCTGGCGATTGCTGGGCTAATACAGCTCATTTAACGTATGTTGTTACCAAAGAAGAAGAAAATCCAGTCAGTCATTCAATAGTGTCCAACAGTGAAGTCTAGCAAGTAAATGGGTTTCCTTGCATAATTTGAATATTAGGACACTGCTAACGTTTAAATTTCACAGATAGGACATACATGATATATTCATAATTCCTGCAAAGTTTTACAGAATTTGATGTTGGCTGCAAAAGGGACATGGTATATTTAAAGCATGAGCATATTGTGAGTAACCAAGATACCTTTTTTTATTCCCAGGTGTTTTAAGTCATGCTAAAGTGAGTAAACCAGTGATAACTTTTTTTTCCCTCAGGTGGTTTAAGACATGCTAGTGTTAGTATGAGCGGTGACCAGGCATACCTGCTTCTAAGGCAGGAGGCAGGGGTGCACCGAGTACAGAGGGTACCAAGGACAGAGAGCAAGGGGCGTATACACACCAGCACCATGGCTATAGCGGTGCTACCACAACCTAAAGAGGTACAGGTTTGAATCCCTTAAAGACAAATAAGTATGGGCTGTCATTGGAACTTTTGACATTAATCGTTTCATTACATACTACATATTGCTCTGTAATTGCTCTGTAATTTCCACCAACCACTCCCCATTGGATGTTTTTTATGAGGACTTCCAATTCGCCTTGGGCAAGACTTGAACACCCATTAATTGTATTTTACTAAGTCTGGTGTCATTGAATTTTGGGCTGTCATGGGGATTTCGACACCACTCGTTTTTTACCGAGGTTAGAAATTATCAATCACCAGAAACAGCCTCCATTTTGATAACCAACAGATCTTACATATTGCTCTGCAATTCCTTTCTTTCTATTCATCTCTCTCTCTCTATCTATTACTTCTCCAGAATTCAATAATAGCTAATGTTATGTATGTGACCAGGCACCACAAAACCCCAACAAGTTTTTAGTCTTGTTTTTAAAGAGGAGATTCTCAGCTTTAAAATTACATAGAAGGAATTATACTCCTTCAACAACAAAAAGTAATATTTGACCGTACTGAGCCCTGACTGGAAATAAAACCATGAGATGTTAGATACCTGTGCACTCGACCAGGTGTGTGAAGGAAGGCCTGTGGGCCATGCTTATTTTAGTTGGCCTATTCCTTCCCAGTTGCCAGTGTCTAGGAGATTACTATAATATTTGTCAATGTGGATATGTCATGGTCTAGTGGGTATGTCACTGGACTGTTAACCACATCATACAGGGTTCAAGACCAAGCCACCTCACTTACATCCTTTGGCAAGAAATTAATCTACATTTGCCACACTCGGCCCAGGTAAGGTAAAATGGGTACCTGGCAGGAATTAATTCTTTGAAATACTAAAGCAAAATATAGCAGCCATGCTAAATTGTTGAGAGGGGAAATTTTGTTTTGTCCAAATGCTCATTACTCCCATTGTTTAAATTAATATAACATGGTGCTATACGTTCCAAAAAGCTGCTGAAAAATTGATTTGGAATCTTTTTAACTCTTGTAAAGCTATAATATAGGGGATGCATTTTCTGATGACAATGACAATATTCTTTTCACCGTAGATTGATCTGAAACTGGACCCTAAAGATTTGAGGGTGGAGACCAAGAAAGCTAGTGGAGCGGGAGGACAGCATGTGAACACAACTGACAGTGCTGTCAGAATTACTCATCTACCAACAGGTATTGTAACGCCTCATTCACACTTGTATATTACTATCCACAAGACGACCTAAGTCATTAACAATGGGTTGTGGGTCGCTGATCTAGTCAGCCATTGGTCTTGTGGGTTGCTGATCCAGCGAGCAATTGGTCTTGTGTGTAGCTGATCCAGCGAGCCATTGGACTTTTGTGTAGCTGATCCAGCGAGCCATTGGTCTTGTGGGTTGCTGATCTAGTGAGTCATTGGTCTTGTGGGTTGCTGATCCAGCGAGCCATTAGACTTTTGTGTAGCTGATCCAGCGAGCCATTGGTCTTGTGGGTTGCTGATCTAGTGAGTCATTGGTCTTGTGTGTTGCTGATCCAGCGAGCCATTGGTCGTGTGTGTAGCTGATCTAGTGGGCCATTGGTCGTGTGTGTAGCTGATCTAGTGGGCCATTGGTCTTGTGTGCTGCTGATCTAGTGAGCCATTGGTCTTGTGTGCATTGCTGATCCAGCGAGCCATTGGTCGTGTGTGAAGCTGATCTAGTGGGCCGTTGGTCTTGTGGGTTGCTGATCTAGCGAGCCATTGGTCTTGTGGGTTGCTGATCTAGTGAGCCATTTGTTGTGTGTGTTGCTGATCTAGTGAGCTATTGGTCTTGTGTGTAGCTGATCTAGTAAGCCATTGGTCTTGTGGGTCGCTGATCTAGTGGGCCATTGGTCTTGTGGGTTGCTGATCAAGTGAGCCATTGGTCTTGTGTGTAGCTGATCTAGTGAGCAATTGGTCTTGTGGGTCGCTGATCTAGTGGGCCATTGGTCTTGTGGGTTGCTGATCTAGTGGGCCATTGGTCTTTTGTGTTTTTCATCTGGGGGAGGTTGAATCAAAAGTGATTAAGCAAAACAAATACAAGTTAAATAATTGTTTATTTTTCTTTCTTTAATCTCATTTTCATCCAACATCAGGCATCTCGGCTGAGAGTCAACAAGAACGTTCCCAGCACAAGAATCGTTCCATTGCCATGACGATGCTCCAGACTCGTATCTACAACCGCATCCTAGCAGACCAGACCAGCTCCGAGCGATCAATGCGCAGTTCCCAGGTCGGCACAGGAGGGCGTTCTGAGAAGATCCGAACCTATAACTACCAGCAGGACAGGATCACTGACCATCGTAGAGGGCGCACCGTCCATGGTGTGCCAGAGTATCTTCTGGGCTCGGAACTCTTAGATGAGATGGTGACTAGCTGTGTGGAAGGCGATCAGTGCCAACAAGTCAGAGAAAGGATTCTAGAGGTTTATGATAAGAACAGAGATAGTGGAAGATAATAAAGGATCTTATAATGAATACCGATGCTTATATCATCCGCAGCATTCATGGTCTGTTCTTGCTTTCTGACCTCTCAGATAAGATGGTTGTATAGAAGGCGATCAGTGCCAAGAATTCAGAGAAAGCATTCGAGAGGTTTATGATAAGAACAGAGATACATGTAGTTGAACATGAGAAAGGATGTGATAATGACCACTTATATCAGGCGCATCGTTCATGGTCTGTCACAGTATGTCTTGCTTTCTGACCTCTTAGACGAGATGGTGACGTGCTGTATGGAAGGCGATCAGTGCCAACAAGTCAGAGAAAGGATTCTAGAGGTTTATGATAAGGACAGAGATAAATGTAGTTGAAGATGAGAAAGGATTTGATAATGACCACGTATGCCTATACCCGGCGCACCTTTCTTGGCCTGTACTTGCTTTTTGACCTCCCAGATGAGATGATTGTATAGAAGGCGATCAGTGCCAAGAATTCAGAGAATGCATTCTAAAGGTTGCTGATAAGAACATGGATAAATGTAGTCGAAGATGAGAAAGGATATGATAATGACCACTTATATATGGCGTAGCGTTCATGGTCTGTCACAGTATGTCTTGCTTTCTGATATCTCAAATGAGATGGGTGTATGGAAGGCAATCAGTGCCACGAAGTCCAAGAGAGGATTCCAGAGGTTTATTATATGAACAGAGATACATTGCGATCAGTATAGAGGCCACTTGACATTGGAATTGGCGTGACATAGAACGTGTGACAAAGGACCACTCGTGATAATTTACTGGTTTGGAACTTTAGCTCAATTGTTGGCAAATCGTATGCGACCTGATCAACCCCATTCAAAACGTTACCACTTCTCTCCTCTATAATATTTGTCCGGAACTTTATCCTGCTTATCTCAAATTAGAGCCTTGTACTCTCTTGTATAAAGACCACTGTTATATCTAATTTTTGCAGTGATTTTCCTACTCATTATTAAAATAGTAGGATAAAAGGAACTGGACATAGTTGCCAGTTCCTTTTATCCTACTATTTTTACCTTGTACAGCAAGATATATAAATTAGGCCCTGAGTCTACGGAATGTACACCACAAGGTACAGGGTTCGAATCCTGCCATGGCACTAATGTCCTTTGGCAAGACATTAATCTGCATTTGCCACACTCAACCCAGGTGTAGTAAGTGGGTACTTGGTAGGATGCATTCCTTGAATGCACTGAGCACTGCGGTTACCAGAGCTCAAGTCGGGGTAGGAAAATCTTAAAGTCCTTTAGAAACGCATAGTGGCGTTATATCATAATGTGATATGCATTATACTACAACAGAACATTATTAGTGTTTTTCTTTGGTCTTATGTAGTGTATAGTGTAGTACTTTCTAGTTCACATGAGCTCTGTTTAATTACCACAAAAGTGTTGAACAACTATGAATTGGCCATTTTTGTAATGAAGTTTCATTTAATGCATAGGCCTTTGTTAAAGGACCCGTTTACTACCGTATTCAAATTGTGTGCATACAAAGGTTGCTCTTGACAACCTGCAAACATGCCTGAGGCTTGTCCAACATAGCAACATGTGATGTAAGCAGACTGGATTATAAGTACTGTAGTTCGTTCATTAATAACAGGTTAATGGAATAAATCGTTGGTAAGTCGCCAGGAAAGAAACATCCATACATCTGAATATGTTAGTAAACCAATCCATTGTCTCGTATTGTTGAGAAATATTTAGAGAAGTAAGAATGAGGAAAGGTAACATGACGGATAACGACATATCCAAGATAGCGGTAGGTGATGGGAAGGAAAGTAAAATAACGAGTGAATACATAAGCAGAGATGCCAACCAGTACGATTAAATCGTATTTAGTAAGATATTAAGTGTGAAATACGATCATACGATATCACCTCTTAAAATACAATTTTTCATTTATTTTTTTTAACCCATAACAAAAAAAATTGCATAGAAACATGTACAAGTAAACCACCGCAACCTCAACCAAAATTTTGCTTTACAATTTTCTCATTATTTTTTAATAAAAGAGCAAACATTTTATTTGAACGTACTTACCAGCAACACATTTTTCTGCAATTTTACTAGCACGGGGCCGACAGGCCGGTGGTAGTGTTGAGTTTTCGTGAAAATCTTTTTTTTTTTTGTAGGATACTAAGTCTGTTTTTTTTGTGTCAAGAGGTTGGCATCTCTGCATAAGGGTGAATGGGTGAAAGGAATGACTGAAAAGAATGAATGAAAAATGAAAGAAGGAGGAGAAGATGAAGAAGGAGGAGAAGAAGGTATTTGTTTCAGTAGCTTATAACAGTTATCCCCCCTTCCTTATGCTCTGTGTGTAGTAGCAATGTATCAAAGCAACAAATCAACACTTCAAAAGCATTTATCTTTCAATACGTCAAGCCTGAATAAACATTGTAAAGATAAACCGAATCGGGCCTTTCTTTTTAATAAAGAGCGTTGTTTATAGAAATATCAAGATTACCGTCGTTCAAACAAGCAGGCCCTATTTGCATTTAAAAATAAAAGAAGGAAAAAGATTGATCCATATTGATCTATCTATCATAGAGAGATAGAAATGGGAGTGCATTTTGAGAAACACATTTCGACATCTATTTATCTTTCATTTACTTTAGAGTCAGCTGTGGACAGTGCGATTCACTCTTTTCTCCTTTTATTCTTTAAGAATACAATTTTCTGCTCTAGGCAGTCACATGCATCTTCTTGATGAACTGTGTGTGTTCAAAGTCCCACTATTGTCCGGATACGTTTTTTCTTAAATGATTAAACTTTTCAATGAGTCCACTTATCCATCAAAATGTATCATGTTTCGATATGTAAATAAAAAAATTTCTATCAGCATAAATTGATGGCACATCCTTATCCTTCTCATACCCTTCATTTTCAGACAACCCCATATACTCGTCGGTTGATTACTTGGATTTGAAATTCAGATCATGCGTAATAGTCTATATTGAGAGGACTACCATGCAATCTTCCCCTGTCGACTAAATAAACTAAATAAAAAGGTAAATGGTTGTCCTTGTAGTTTGCATTGACCTTGTCATTATTTTTGACGAAAGAGGATGAGAGTGTACGTAGTCATAGAATAGAGACGGATAGAGAGAGAGAGAGAGAGAGAGAGAGAGAAGGGGAGTACAAGAGAGTAAGCGGGTAATGAAATGGAGAGAGAAGGAAAGTGTGAATTAAGAACTTGAACATTGTCATCTTCTGAATATAAAGTAGAGTAATCCAAAGGAAAAGGAAGTAGAATAGGAAATAGAAACTGTTATATACCTCTCTTTAGAAATCTAGCCATCTTGTTGGTCAAATTTGGAGTCGGGGGTCTAGCCATGCCCGACTACCGGTCAATAGTCTCTTAAAAGATGCCCGCATGCCCCGGTTAACGGGCGACATGATTGAATTTTTGGTGAGATCCCCATTGGTTTACATTTAAAAAGTTTCTTTGTGCGAGCGCGGCTACAAAATACAGTACAGTGTGTGTGCGATTCCCGAATGATTGTTACATTCAGGCAACTTCCCAGCGAAGATTTACAGACAGTGTCTCAGATTTTCTGTGATGTTTTAAGTTTAACCAGTCTTTACTCAAGAAAAGGATAAGGTAAGAATTTTGTATAGATTATTTTTGTGAATTCGGTATAAAAAAGATATAAAGACTGCTTTAATGTTCGAGGCATATTTGTTTCTGTAAGCTCTTGAGGAAGTTATATACTGCTATCACCCCTTGGCACGCCTCGGAGTGATAGCGGGATGTAACGTCCCCAAGAGCCTATAAACAACTATCCTTTTAATAGCAGTCATTATATCTATAACAATAACCAGTCTACTCCCTAGATGTATGGTTGAGGTTGATCAACACTATAATAAACAAATTAAACAATATTATACAAATAGTAGGGAAAGTTAGACAAAAAATGTTAAAAATGTACTCCTTGGAATTGAACTGGAAGGTTATTTTAGAAATCCAACCCGTCCATTTCAAGCTCCCCTCTCCCTCTCCCATCCAACTCCATCTCTCCTCCTGTCTTCTCCCTCTCTCCCCCTCTCTCCCTCTCTCCTCCCCCACTCTCTTTTCCCTCTCTCTCACCCATATATTCTCTCCCATATCTCTCTTTGTCCCCCCCCCCCCCCACACACATAGTTGTTTGATTATTTTGCAACTATATATACACTATCAGTTTCATGCTGATCTATGATATTTCTGTAAACATCGCTATCTGAAAAAAGGCGTCTATTTGTGTTAATATTTAATAAGTTATGTATTTGAATTTGCCTTTTGAAGCAGTACAAGCATATTATGTGATTAAGTAGAATGTAATATTGCACATGTCATAAAGAAATGGGGCGTCTTCCTTATTAAAACAGCCACCTTGTTGTCCCCAAATAAATTGGTCTTTAGAGTCAATATATCACTTAAGTTTACATTCATTAAGAACTGAAATCCAACCCGAAAGTTAAACATATATAGCCACCACTTGAACTTGCTTTTACTTACAAAACCAAGAAAAGTTATTGACATTTTCAATTTACTCCGTACCGTCAAAGGTTTACGAGCAATCGTTCTAAAGTGAGGTAAGGTAACGTCACTTCCATATTTTCTGTGATAGCAGATTTTCTGTGATGTTTTAAAGGTAAAGACCAGTATTGGCAACGCCCCAATTTCAAAAAATGAAATGGAAGCTCTCATTACCAATCATGTGAAAGAATATGTTTTGACTAATACATGATGATAAAAAATTTGCCGGGAAACCGCCTACTAATTCATATATTTGGTAAACTTATTTCTCTCATGGTCTGGTGAGAGAGATAGGGTAGTCCCATATACATCTTTCTGTGTATAGTGCTTGTAACTTTACGAAGAATGGGCCAAATTTCTTATCATTTTGATGATTCCAGAACCTTGCAGATGCTAGATGCTAGATGATCAACCTTTTCTGATCGATTCCACAACGTTTCTTTCACAATGCAATCGCATGACCATTACTGGTCTTTACCTTTAAGTTTAACCAGTCTTTACTCAAGAAAAAGATAAAGTAAGAATTTTGTATAGATTATTTTTGTGAATTCGGTATAAAAAAGATATAAAGACTGCTTTAATGTTCGAGGCATATTTGTTTCTGTAAGCTCTTGAGGAAGTTATATACTGCTATCACCCCTTGGCACGCCTCGGAGTGATAGCGGGATGTAACGTCCCCAAGAGCCTATAAACAACTATCCTTTTAATAGCAGTCATTATATCTATAACAATAACCAGTCTACTCCCTAGATGTATGGTTGAGGTTGATCAACACTATAATAAACAAATTAAACAATATTGTACAAATAGTAGGGAAAGTTAGACAAAAAATGTTAAAAATGTACTCCTTGGAATTGAACTGGAAGGTTATTTTAGAAATCCAACCCGTCCATTTCAAGCTCCCCTCTCCCTCTCCCATCCAACTCCATCTCTCCTCCTGTCTTCTCCCTCTCTCCCCCTCTCTCCCTCTCTCCTCCCCCACTCTCTTTTCCCTCTCTCTCACCCATATATTCTCTCCCATATCTCTCTTTGTCCCCCCCCCCCCACACACATAGTTGTTTGATTATTTTGCAACTATATATACACTATCAGTTTCATGCTGATCTATGATATTTCTGTAAACATCGCTATCTGAAAAAAGGCGTCTATTTGTGTTAATATTTAATAAGTTATGTATTTGAATTTGCCTTTTGAAGCAGTACAAGCATATTATGTGATTAAGTAGAATGTAATATTGCACATGTCATAAAGAAATGGGGCGTCTTCCTTATTAAAACAGCCACCTTGTTGTCCCCAAATAAATTGGTCTTTAGAGTCAATATATCACTTAAGTTTACATTCATTAAGAACTGAAATCCAACCCGAAAGTTAAACATATATAGCCACCACTTGAACTTGCTTTTACTTACAAAACCAAAAAAAAGTTATTGACATTTTCAATTTACTCCGTACCGTCAAAGGTTTACGAGCAATCGTTCTAAAGTGAGGTAAGGTAACGTCACTTCCATATTTTCTGTGATAGCAGATTTTCTGTGATGTTTTAAGTTTAACCAGTCTTTACTCAAGAAAAGGATAAGGTAAGAATTTTGTATAGATTATTTTTGTGAATTCGGTATAAAAAAGATATAAAGACTGCTTTAATGTTCGAGGCATATTTGTTTCTGTAAGCTCTTGAGGAAGTTATATACTGCTATCACCCCTTGGCACGCCTCGGAGTGATAGCGGGATGTAACGTCCCCAAGAGCCTATAAACAACTATCCTTTTAATAGCAGTCATTATATCTATAACAATAACCAGTCTACTCCCTAGATGTATGGTTGAGGTTGATCAACACTATAATAAACAAATTAAACAATATTGTACAAATAGTAGGGAAAGTTAGACAAAAAATGTTAAAAATGTACTCCTTGGAATTGAACTGGAAGGTTATTTTAGAAATCCAACCCGTCCAATTCAAGCTCCCCTCTCCCTCTCCCATCCAACTCCATCTCTCCTCCTGTCTTCTCCCTCTCTCCCCCTCTCTCCCTCTCCCCTCCCCCACTCTCTTTTCCCTCTCTCTCACCCATATATTCTCTCCCATATCTCTCTTTGTCCCCCCCCCCCCCACACACATAGTTGTTTGATTATTTTGCAACTATATACACTATCAGTTTCATGCTGATCTATGATATTTCTGTAAACATCGCTAACTGAAAAAGGGCGTCTATTTGTGTTAATATTTAATAAGTTATGTATTTGAATTTGCCTTTTGAAGCTGTACAAGCATATTATGTGATTAAGTAGAATGTAATATTGCACATGTCATAAAGAAATGGGGCGTCTTCCTTATTAAAACAGCCACCTTGTTGTCCCCAATAAATTGGTCTTTAGAGTCAATATATCACTTAAATTTACATTCATTAAGAACTGAAGTCCAACCCGAAAGTTAAACATATATAGCCACCACTTGAACTTGCTTTTACTTACAAAACCAAGAAAAGTTATTGACATTTTCAATTTACTCCGTACCGTCAAAGGTTTACGAGCAATCGTTCTAAAGTGAGGTAAGGTAACGTCACTTCCATACACTTTAAAATTTTTCACATTTTTGTCTTCATTATTCGAATGAAGTTTATATACTGAATACAACAAATTATAACAAATCCGAGACCTCTCTGCCGTAATATCTTGTTATTTTAAAAATTCGCAGGAATCAAAAATGACATTTGCTTGATGTTTTTCCGCTTTGCGATTTTTTGTTTGTAACAGCTAGGAAAGGTTTTGAGGAATCAATATATCAATGACATACGAAGCATGGGTCGGGTTGATTCCTTCTTATCATTGATGTGTCCAAAGTATCACTATTGTTACGAATCAAAAGTATAATAACTGATAAAGGGATATGAGACTATTTTTACATCACGCAATATCTCATATGTCGATAAGTAAAAAATGATAACCTATCTAAAGCAAACAACAGGAGTTATGACTTAGCTCTTTTACTTCTCATGCGAAGTAAAA